GCCGCCCGCACCTCCCGCCCCTCCTGCGGCGCCAGCGCTGCCCGTCCCGCTGCCGCTGCCCCCGCCCGACGACGAGTCCGGGAACCTGGCGTGTATTTTTGATAGTTTTATCTTGTAATAATAGTTAATATTTTCATTTGTAATATTTAATATTTTCATTTTGTAATGATATTTGATATTCAGTAATAGATTATAACGATTAATACGACAGCCGGCGATATCGAGCCCAGATTATGATAATACATACAATGAATACTATGAATAATAAATGAATAAATACAGGTATTGCGCTAGGCTAACGAGATGGACACAGTCCTGTAACATATACAATAATCCTATTGAGGATAATGACTACGAAGCATTTCTATACGGCAACATGTACAATAATCTTGGCTATACAATGGATATACACAGCAACATACACAGTAGTCTCAGATATACAACGGATATATACAGCAACATATACAATAATCTTAGATATACAACGGATATATACAGCAACATATACAACGGATAAATACAAGAATACATACAACAATATTGGATATACAATGCGGACTACAAACAATACCTGAAGTTGGAGCCGAAGCCGCGGCTCTGCTGGAGGGTCTGGGCGAACATCTCGTACTTGCGGATGTCGTTGTCCGACACCGAGCGTCGCGCGAACTTCATCGCCTCCTCGAAGTGCTCCTTCGTGATCTCTGGGACTGGGTCCTCGTCCATCTGGGGGCNTTGTGTATGGGACTCTTCCTGAGGCAGGCCTTCAGTATCTGGACCTACCTTGTGTATGGGACTCTTCCTGAGGCAGGCCTTCAGTATCTGGACCTACCTTGTGTATGGGACTCTTCCTGAGGCAGGCCTTCAGTATCTGGACCTACCTTGTGTATGGGACTCTTCCTGAGGCAGGCCTTCAGTATCTGGACCTACCTTGTGTATGGGACTCTTCCTGAGGCAGGCCTTCAGTATCTGGACCTACCTTGTGTATGGGACTCTTCCTGAGGCAGGCCTTCAGTATCTGGACCTACCTTGTGTATGGGACTCTTCCTGAGGCAGGCCTTCAGTATCTGGACCTACCTTGTGTATGGGACTCTTCCTGAGGCAGGCCTTCAGTATCTGGACCTACCTTGTGTATGGGACTCTTCCTGAGGCAGGCCTTCAGTATCTGGACCTACCTTGTGTATGGGACTCTTCCTGAGGCAGGCCTTCAGTATCTGGACCTACCTTGTGTATGGGACTCTTCCTGAGGCAGGCCTTCAGTATCTGGACCTACCTTGTGTATGGGACTCTTCCTGAGGCAGGCCTTCAGTATCTGGACCTACCTTGTGTATGGGACTCTTCCTGAGGCAGGCCTTCAGTATCTGGACCTACCTTGTGTATGGGACTCTTCCTGAGGCAGGCCTTCAGTATCTGGACCTACCTTGTGCATGGGACTCTTCCTGAGGCAGGCCTTCAGTATCTGGACCCACCTTGTGTATGGGACTCTTCCTGAGGCAGGCCTTCAGTATCTGGACCCACCTTGTGTATGGGACTCTTCCTGAGGCAGGCCTTCAGTATCTGGACCCTGCTCTTATCATCAGGCAGGGGGATGTAGATGAGCTGGTCAAGCCGGCCGGGTCTCAGGATGGCCGAGTCGATGATGTCGGGACGGTTCGTGGCGCCGATGATAAACACGTTCTTCTTGGCGCCCATGCCGTCCATCTCAGTCAGAACCTGCGCGCCAAAAACAGCAAACATTACTCACTATTTTATTTACATCTTATCTTATCAATATGATAAGATTAATTACATATATTTATTTAACATATAAGATAGATTAATTATGTCTTATTATCATTCTTGGCAAGGAATAAATGTTCTTGAATAGTTGTGCATGTGTACGGATACGGAGTTTGTATCTCTTACGAAAGCTTGATAAAAGACCTGAGAATATTTTTATTGATAAGTTAATAAAATGAAAAATTTGTATCGTGGCACAAAAAAATGGACACGAGAGGAACTATACGCCCACTAGCAGCAAGGAATTGATGATGAGGAAAAAGCGAGATGAAATGATGTGTGATGAGGGAGAGAGTGCGGTGACCCAACTGGCATGTGATGACCCACCTTGCATGTGATGACCCACCTGGCATGTGATGACCCACCTTGCATGTGATGACCCACCTTGCATGTGATGACTCACCTTGCATGTGATGACCCACCTTGCATGTGATGACCCACCTTGCATGTGATGACTCACCTTGCATGTGATGACCCACCTTGCATGTGATGACCCACCTTGCATGTGATGACCCACTATACATGTGATGACCCACCTGGTTGATGACCCACTTAGCACATGATGACTCACCTTGCATGTGATGACCCACCTTGCATGTGATGACCCACTATGCATGTGATGACCCACCTGGTTGATGACCCACCTGGTTGATGACGCGGTCAGCAGCGCCCCCCGCGTCACCAGCAGAGCCGCCCCTGGCCTTGGCGATGCTGTCGAGCTCGTCGAAGAACAGCACGCACGGCGCCGCCGATCTGCCACCCAGGGTACGTTAGTTCATCATACATTCACATTTCAAATAATATATTATTGTTTATAAGCAATATCTTGATTATTTTTATTTAATTTATATTTTAATACAGCCAGGGCGCAGAAAACCTGCAAGAGCAGGCTTTCTTTATCCATTCACATTTCAAATAATAAATTAGTGTTTGTTGATAATCAATATCTTAATTACCGGTGTCTTTATTTAAATAATATTTTAATGCAACCAGTGCACAGAAAACCTGCAAGAATAATTAATGACAACCATAGATCGTAATCCTCACGATAAAACAATGCTTTCCTTCACCACAAGACACCATTATTGTTCACCATAGATAACCGATCATTCTCACAATAAAATATCACTTACTTTATTATTATTATTTATTATATCTTGATTATTATAATA